CACTCAAAGATTTCACATTACAAGCGTATGATGCTTTGAAGGAGCTAGTGAGGGATTGGACAATGAAGAAGATGGCAACATTGTTCTAGAGTTGGAAGAAGACATTGTATAAAAAGTTTATCTTGAAGAATGCTACGCCGAATTTCAATGCTAAGGCGTTTGTCAAGTTGAGTCCCATTGGGATGCCTTCAGAGAATACAAGACATCTCAAGACAAAGAGGAACGTGTGATGAGGAATCGGCGGAATGCCCGATGTAAGCAATACCATCATCGCATGGGATCGATATAGGAGTGCTATTCCCAAGTGGCGAACCTAGAAGCGAGATTACCGCCAAGGAATCATACACAAACAATAGAAAAGAACCGGCCTCAACAGCGCGAAGAATTGGTTCTACGCTCATGGGGAAGCCTAGACCCGCATAATCGCAAGCTAATTTTCGGCCAAAAAATTGAGAGAGCAACACAGAGACTAGCTCGTGCTAGGGAAGAAGCTGATAGTGGTGTTTTCAAGCCCAACAGAGAGAAGGATGAATTGACATATGCCCTAGAGAATCCCGAACACGGTGGTCGAACAAGAGGCTATGGGCGGTTCCGTGGCTACACGCATTCCCAAAGCAGACAAGGATACCTCTGAAGCCGCCAGAGAAAGAAGGATGAGGAGGCGAAGCAATTCGTGCATTGGAGCAATTTGTTGATGAGTCACGACAAGCATTGCTTGAATCACGTGAACGAGAAAAATCTCTTGAGGCAAGAATGCAGGAGGAGATCAAGAGGCAAGTGCAGCTAGCAATGAGTCAAATGCAATCGCAATCAACGCCGGAGTCACCATTAGCCCGTTGGTCGATGAAAAGCGCTTGTGCTTCTACGGAGCTGCCAGCTTATTCAAGACGACGCTGGTTGCGCTTCCTCATTGATGACATTACCGAGCCTCTAACAAAATGTGAGCTGCACATTCCGGATGGTAATGCATCAATCATGGTGGTTGTCGGGGTTGTATCTCCAATAGACCGAACGAAGACACCAAGAATCCATGGATCAGCTTATTCAACCCGGATATGCTAGCGTCTCGATCGATAGAGTGCTCAAAGGTTACAAAGAATGTTCCTCTTGACATTGAAGGTGGTGATGGGGAGAAGACACTAGGAGAAACAGAGAAGACATTTATTCAATGGCGCAAACGCTTCATCATCATTCCCTGGGCGCCACCGCTTCCCTACCTCACCCTAGGTACGAATGAAAGTGAATGAAATATTATTTTCCATTAATTTTCTATTGGCTTCAAAAATAATTGACACACAAATTGTTTTTATAGCAGGGTCTCTCCCACTAGCCTAATCATTCATTCCCCATCTCATCACAAAGTCACTGGGGCGAGACGACTTCATCCCCACGGCGATCGCTAACTCCTACACCGCCCCATCGCCTCCACAATGATCTCCAACTCCTACACCGCCCCATCGCCTCCACAACGATCTCCAACTCCTACACCGGCCCCACCGCCTCCACAAACGATCTCCAACGTCTCCACGCCGGTCTCCACCAACACCGCCTCATCGCCTCCACGCCGATCTCCAACACCGCCCCACCCTCCACAAATGACGCACTACAAAGACGCCTAAGGTCCCATGAAAAGAAGACCCCAAGAAAAAGAGTTATTTCTCAAGAAATACTTTCTGAAAAGACCGATGAGCAAATAGCAAATTGAAGAAGACAAAAAGTAAAAGATTTTTTATAGATATAAAAACAAGAGTCAAGCAAAGCTTAAGGAGAAGCCGTACTTTTACATACCACGAGATGTGCTGAGGCAGAAGGTCGATGCTCACAAGAAAAAGATGATTGAACTTCGTAAGCCTTCGCCACTATCGACTATGACCGCCTCCTCGTGAAGTCACATGATGCAGATAAGAAAAGGAAAAGAGCATCGTGGAAGGATGTCCCATACTCGGACAATGAAGCAACCAATGCAAAATCTTGTTGTTGCTAATGAATATGGTTCCAACATAGAAGTCTATCGACCGCATAACTCGGAGAAGTGTCGGTTCAAGCCCTTAATGCTTTTTTAAAGATACCGGTTTAACCTTGGATCAATTGACGGGCAAAGCTCCAATCCGTAACACGGAAGTTGATACCGGAAGACTTATAAATATGGCAAAAAGTCTGTATAACCTCAAGGGCTCTGAATGAATTGGAGTACGCAAATGTACTTGCTCAACAAGTGGTACATGCAGTGTGTATGAGCAAAGGATCTTTGTCGATTTAGAGACCATCATTACTTCCGTGGCGATGACATCTTACATATTAGTTTCAAGAATTGCATCAACTATTCCACTTGGACGCCTGGACAAATCAATCATGAGCTCCTTTTGTTTGTAAGTGATTCTTACTTTTATTTAATAAACTCACTTCCATGCGACGTGTATATAATTATCCTCACATGTAACTTATATTTATATATAGATTTCAGATGTCGAGCTCCAAAAATACAAGACACCAAAGTTGGCTTCATTGATCCTTATATCGTATTCAAAACCGATATTATTGTCAAGGACCACTGGGTATCTCAAGCCGAGAGAGAATATCATGAAGTTCTTCGTGAAGCAAAGACGACAAGACAACAATACTTTTCCCGCACAACTTTGAGTAAGTGTTAATAATAATGTAGTCTACACATTTTATGTAATATCAATACAACTTATATGCATGTACGTGTGTGTATAAACCAATGCGATTTTCACTTTGGATACTCATTGTCATTGAGTTAAACTCAAGTCGGTTACTAATCTTTGACTCGTTGAGAAAAGAACGGGCACTATACCAAGATATGATAGATATTATCCAGGGGTAATTTCGATCTCTCGCGCACAACTATTATTGAATAGACTTTGCCATAATTTATTAACGATCGTACATTATTGGTCGCATACGAGGTTTGGAAAGAGTTTATTCGGCAACATCGCAAAGGATTGCAAGGCACCACTTAATGTAGTTGAAATACCATGAAGTTGTACTATATACACTTCCCCACGTTTTAATTACTATATCGTACTTCAATTTACGTGTGAGATGATGAGAATAATCTTCTTCTCAAATGCAAAGTGGTGTTTATGGCGAGAACCGGTAATAACTTGTGTGGATACTACGTTTGTGAATTTATCACACAAGCATTATAAGAAGAACTCCTGAAGATGTCCTCGAATGTACGTATATATCAATATTTATTTATTTTTAAAAGAATATATATACATATATGTGTATTAATACTTTTCCTTTTATTTCAAATGCAAGACCGAATGGTTGAAACGAAGGGTCATGCAAAAGACCATCCGAAAGCGCTTCAAGAGTCAATAGCAGGATATCTTCTAGAAAAAGTGCTAAATCCCAACGGCGTAGTTCTACTTTGATCTTAAGGAATAAATGATGTAAATTAAATGTTTATTGATATCGTTATTTTTTTAGAACAAGATTATGAAAGTGTTGTATATACACATATATATATATATATATATCTATAATATATATAGTTTCATACTTTATTCAATATAATAATGCTCAAGATGAGAATTAGATGTAATTATATGCATGCGTGTATTTATATTAGCAACGTAGAATACGTATACATAAAAACATATTATATATTAAACAAATACGTGTAACTGAACTGAAAACAAATTAAACAAAAAAAAGAAAAAGAAAAGGAACCGTTAGTCCCAGTTGGGGTTACCAACCGGGACTAAAGGGTGAACTCATTAGTCCCGGTTGGTAACCCCAACCGGACTAAAAATCTGCGCCAGTTCGCTTGTGGAGGGCCTTTAGTCCCGGTTGGTGTTACCAACCGGGACTAAAGGTCCTCTTTAATCCCGGCTCGATGACCCGGGACTGAAGGTTCCACCTTTAGTCTCGGGATCGTTGTCCTGCCATGTAACTTGGGACTAAAGGTCATACTGCCGGGACAACAGGTCCATTCTGTAGTAGTGCTAACTGCCAGCCTATACTAGCGGATAGGGGCACACAACTATAGCATAGCAGATGAGCCTGCTGACCAAGTAGCCTGTTAACAGTGATATTTCTACAATTCTACTGATTGCTGGTAGATCACCCTTTTTTTATTCATGTAAACTATTCCATCCCGTGGTACAATCAGTTGGTAAAACTAGGTACACCTTCAACAGTCGTTCACTAATCGTAGTAATTAATGGAAGCGATTCCATAAATATCTGAATATGTGGCAGTGTATGTAAAACTGGAGTCAATTGTACTTGAGGAACATACTTACACTGACTGCAACTATATATCGTCTGCTAAATCAATCTTCGTGGACGTACTGAAAATTCTCATCTACCTTATTCGTAATTCACTAGCTATCGCTAATTCATAGGATGGTGGAACAAAGCATCGAAAATTCTCATCTACCTTATTTGTAACCATCACTATATTGGGATGGGACCAAGGTTTTTTTTCGGAAATTAAAATTTATCGGAGGTCATAGATAATCAGGATAAGCATGATATATCGGAAATATCAGACCAAATTCAAAAATTTCAATTTTTTTCAAAAAAAAAATTGTAGAATTTGACTTAAAACTATTCCTAAGCTATTAAACATCACTTGTTCACAGATAAAAACAAGAAAACATTATAAATGCATTAGATAGGTTCTACGCCGAACGTTGCTAAGTCCCACATATTACAGTCCATTCTATAGCATATATAATAAGGCCCACTACACTCAATAGCACATATTACATTAGATCATATTACAGTTCATTAGATCATATTACAGTCCATTAGATAGGTAAGTAGTCTCAAATTCATTACAAAATATAAGAGTGCACTAAAAGCTAACATCACATCCACTGAAGTGTGCCATGCACCATCCAGATCTTTTCCTTTGATATTGAGCCTACACCTTAAAAAATATTGACATAGACAATTTTCGAACTCAATGAAATAAAATCACAATGACAATGCTGATGTTTGCATATAAAAGGGCCATCTAACCTTTTATAGGTCGTAGATGCTCTTGACAATCGGCTTTCTTTTTCTAGTTGATCTTGGCCGTAGAGGGGTTGGTTCCCCATGATTAACACCTACAATGTCAAATATAAATAACTCAAGAGCATAATTGTAGGATACAAAATCAACTATCGCCACATGTATGCATTTTTATGTCACATGTGAGTTGATTTTAGTCACCTGAACCACCTGGTACATCTGTACCAGCTGTAGTACCACCGCTTCCATCACCAACATCATTATCACCTTTGCCCAAAAAAAAAGACATACCAACATTTAAAATAATAACTACAGTCTATTGACAACAAATCCAAATTGCTGAAACTGATTTAAACTCATCATCACCTTCATCGTTCGAACTGCTGTCCCCTGACTCGGCATACACTGGGCTACCATGTTCTTCTGAAGAAGTGTCATAGTCATCTGCTATACATTCATCATCTTCATCCAATTGCATCTTCCTTTTCTTTTTCTTGCCCAATTGCATCTTCCGCTTAAATGCAGCTATCTCTTCATCGTCCATGTGTAAACTTTCAATGACGAAGTTGCTAGGTGTTGACCAATCATCATCGCTATCATCGTATTCATCAAGAATCGGTGTAGACTCACTCATAGAATTGTTCAGCCACTCCATGATTGGGTTGCCTTCATCATAAAGAGCAAGATCCATCATCATGCTACATGGATCAGGATCTTTTTCTTGAAAGTTCTGAAAGTCAGCTTCGAATTGTTGGATGCACAGCTTCAGATTATAATGCACGTACACCAATTTCTCTAGCTTGTCATAGCCTAAACGATTTCTTACTTTTGTATGCACCAAAGCAAACGTGCTCCAGTTTCTTTCACACCCACTTGATGATACGCATGGCGAGACAATGCGCCTTGCAATCCTTTGTAATTCTGGATACTGTCCTCCATAAGAACCCCACCATTCAGCTACAATTAATTAAAAAATTAACTTGCAAAGAGACTTACAAGAACATGATCACTATCGTGCAATTTATTTCGAGATATTAGTTGCACACGAAGTAACATCGATCAATTACCTGCACTTTGGTTCGCCATTTAGTGCTGACCACCGAGCTTCCGGGTTCCAAATAACCCTCTCTTTTCAACGAACCGAGAAAATTGATCAATCGCAATACTTCCGCTTACAAGTTGACTTTGCAAGCTTCTTGATTGCCATGGTTCTGACAAATTGGGAACTTGACTTTTTTGCAAGGTTTGACCTGTACAATTCTGAAGGATCAAGTGCAACAGCTACAAAGGTAAAGAAATCACTAATATTAGAAAGATAAGAACTGAAAGCGACATTACAATTTTAGAATGGATGCAAAGAAACATTGATTGAACAAGTTTCAGATCACTCCATAGTGTTACCTGCATGAATAATTGTTCCATTGACAATATATCGAAGCCTTTTCTTGATCACTTCACTACCTTCTTATGAAAATCTCCTTTACCATGTTTTATTTGTTTTATTTTACCAGTTATCTCATTATATCGCTTTATCATCTTTGGAAGGAAGCGGATATAGTACCATTCTTTTGTTGATCAAGATAGCGAAAGAACACGAAAAAGTGGTCCAACAACTTTCAAGACCAATTCCATCTTTTCCCACCACACCCTATTTGTCAAAGCAATCATATGCAAATTCATGGTCCGGATCATTTCTCCATTCACTGCTTTTTTCCACTCGGAGAGACCATCCATGCCTTGAACTCATCCTGCCTATCAAAAAAACTTTGCAAGCACAAGAACACGGTGCCAAATCTAGTGGCATTCCACCGGACCAGCTCTCCACCAATCTTCAGTCTCATCATAGCATGAAGTCTGTTATGGTTATAGAAAAAATTACATATGCGCTTTGCACTCTTCACTACATGGTCAACCTCATCAAATCGCCCTATGTCCTTCAGCATCAAATTTATAGTATGTGCAGCACATGGCTGCCATGTAATGTGTTTATGCTTAGCAACAAGCATTTTGCATGCTTTCTTGTAATTGGAACCATTATCTGTCACAATCTGAACGATATACTTGGGACCAATCTCTTCCTCAACGACCTTACTAATACAATCATAAATGAATTTTGCATTTTGGACCTCACCAGTTGCATTCACAGTCTTGTGAAAGAACATGCGACCATTGCAAAAGATCATAAAGTTAATAATACACATCATATTGTTGCTTGTCCATGAATCACACATGAGGGTGACTCCAAATCGATCCCAATCTTCCCTAAAAGACTTCATGTGAGCTTTCAAGTCATTAAAGTTTTGTTCTAGCAATGGACCATCTATATCTTTTCCTTTTGGGATAGGCACATCACCAAGTTGTTGAGTCAATTTAATTGCTGATCGAAAGTAGGGGCAGTCAGCTTTTCTTCCAGGAACATCATTGGCATGGAACCACTTAGACCAAGTTTTCGCAAGCCTAAGCGCGGAATCCCCACTAAGCATAGTGTCAATTCGAGGCTATAAGGGCACCTTACTATGTGCCAAGTCTATGTCAAAGGGAGCTTTTGAAGAACTTGGGTTCTGGTAGAAACTGTGAAGCAAACTTTGTCTAGTGGAGGCAGCAGCCCCACTGCCACTGCTACTTGCCTTGCCTAAGGTAGAGGACTTACTCCCACTGCTACTTGCTTTGTCTAGATTTGAAAGCCCAATACTAGTGGCACTTCCCTTATGAAACAGAGGGCTGCCACTTGACCCACTTGGACTGGCAGTCCGACAAATACCACTACCACTTGCCCTATTCTTAGGAGTTGAGCCAATATCCATCAGTGAGTTTTGCATTGCCATCTCATACTGTGCCTCTTCGTCAAGGCTAGCTAAAGTTGTTCTATAATCATGTTCCATGAGTGCCTTCTCAATATAGAGACGACTTTCCATAACATCTCTCTTCTTTTTCTTCGCTAATGCTACTTGATCCAGCAATATTGTCTTAACATTAGGTGGCACATGAGAACATGACTTCACATTACCAGATATTGCACACAAATGCTCCGTTAAGCGGGTCTTCCCTCCACTTTTCTGGCCTGCAGAACAGTAGCCACACTTCCAGCCATTTGTACCCGACTGTGTCCCATGGCTCCATGTATCTTCAATTGGTCCTTTCAATTTTATCCGCCTCCCTAAAAAACAGTGTGATCCATCGTTAGAACAGAACAATTCATGGATGAAACATGAAACAAAAAAAAGGGTATTTTCCTACACAAACAGACCTCCAGTAGTAACCACATATGTGTCAGCCACACTGGATGGCTCGCCGCTGCTGCCAGGTACTTTCCCCTTGCCACTGCTATGGCATTCCATCTGACCTCCAGTAGTAACCACATATGTGTCAGCCACACTGGATGGCTCGCCGCTGCTGCCAGGTACTTTCCCCTTGCCACTGCTATGGCATTCCATCTCTCATAAAATTTGTCTGCCAATTAGGATTGAAACATGTATCAAAATTCCTAAAATAATTTTCATTTTATACAAGAGTAATTATTCTGTACAAAATTGCAGGTTGATACACGCTTCCAGTTAAGTGTACTATTCTCTAATCCGCCAAGTTGAACAAATAAAAGAAATTATTTTGTACTCAAACAACATCCTAGAATGATTCAGCACTAATTATTCAGCTAGCAAAGCACCACTGCACTTCTCTACCATCTACCATCTATTGCTGGCAAGAAAGTTAAATCCTTGAGTAGAAAAGAGAAAACACACCAAACTCTGGACTCTGGAGTGCTGAACTGCTGAAGGCGTGAAGCTCACCAGCAGGTCCCCTGCCGCGATGGGCGCTCGAGGAGCAGTTCGCGGCGGTGGCGCTGCCGCACACCGGCACGCATACCCGCCATTCGTCGACTCCGTGCGGCACTGCGGGGTGGATTTGTGGCCTTGTGGGTCCAGGCTATGGCGGCGGCGGCGCCATGAGCGCGGCTGTGCAGCTGTGCCTACGTGAGGGGAACAAATGGGTTTTTGATTGGATTTCTAGGGTTCGGGGGGATTTTGTGGGCTGGGAGGCGCTGTTGGACTGTCGCACGGGAAGTTTGGGCCCATCTGCATGGGAAGAGGAAAAAGCGGAAAATTGGCTGATTACCTATTTTTATCGGGCCCCACCGATAGAGACGATATTCCGGAAAAATCCATGACTTTCGGCCGATAAAAATTTCCGCACCGGGATAGAAAATATGAGTCTCAAGCACGAAATTTCAAATTAAGTCAGAGACATGATCTGTCCTTATCCATGTGGTGGACTCTCAAATGAGTGCAAGTGACTCAAAATTAGTTTGTTGACTGAGGCAATTAATGCGTTAGCTTCAGTGGTTTAGGCAAGTAGACCTCGCTTCATGATATTTGCAACTTGCAAGCATCAAACATTAGTCTCAGTGTGCTTCAAGTTTCTACTCTCTTCTTGTTCTTCTTTTGATATAGGTTTCTGTTTTGTTTTTATTTCTTGGTGAAAGAATTGCAAGACCATGAAGCCTTCAACCAACAACTATGGCATCTCCGTTATGGCATATATATTTCTCATTGTAGTGTCAGAGTCCGTGGAATGTGGATACTACGCTCTACAGCAATAACCATGGAGATTTCTGCACTTTCTCATAATCTTCAAACAATAATCTTTGTTTACCTTAAGGGTACACAATCAGCTATGAATTTGCAGCTCATTAAGGTTCGTACATTGCGCACGCAAAAGGCTCTCAGCTAGTATATTTCGGATTTCATTATAAGTACGTCCATCCCATAAGTGATGATTTGGACACCATGATCTTTGTTGAAGTATCAGTGAATTTTTCATCTTTTTCTATCACTACTACAGAAAGGGACAACACTGCTGGTTATATCAAAACTGCCGGCAGTGATAATTCATTGTCACTACCAGTTGCTTTGAACATACTATAAAGAAAAAATGTATGTAGCTACCTACCTATCTGGTATCAGCTATCACCCATCCAACATACTATAAAGAAGATCCACCCTTGGCACACTTCCACTCCATAAACATTTCCTACTTTCCGCCTTTCCTTTGCATATGACAATCAAAATTCGTCTACATAATATCCATGGATGATTTCCGGTTGTGTATAGGGATGGGACGCACTGGGATAGAAGAGAGGGGTCATAGACGCAAGAGAAGTATTTGTAACAGACATGATCTCGTCAATCACAAACGAGCTGCCCAAGCTGACGAGGATGATGGAGCACTGATTTGCACTCACTGCAGTGGAATCCAGCATGTAAGTCGTCTTGTCATATGAACAAGACATGTGAACTTTGAGGAGGCAGGTCACAGCAGAGTTGGTGGTGTCGACCTAGTAAAAGATGGTGGCATCGTTTGTCAGCCAGTCAACATCGTAGCGATGCGCCGCGTGCAAGATGAACTTGTCAAAGATAGTCTCGAAGAAACACATAGTAGCTGGAGTTCTCGTCAATCGTCATGTCCAACAGGTCGGGGACATTTGGATGGTAGCCGGAGGAACGAGGCACACGTACTTAATATACTGTGATACCAGATGAACATATATTATTTATTAGATTGGCAAATTATGTAAGGTTTACTAATTATCACTACAAATGAGAGTGATCTTTAGAGGCAGTCAAAATGTATTTGGAGAGGCAGATATAGGAACTATCAATGTGTCTGGAGAAATTAATTTCTCTAGAGGCGGCCAGAAAACAACTGGCACCTCTAGAAATCAATCTTCAGTAGCCGCCTCTGGAGATCGGATCTTCAAAGGTGTCTTCTTCTAGTCACCTCTAAAACATTTTTGCAATGTCTATAATTTTCCTGCCATATCTGAAATTTCATTTTCCGCCAAATTTGAAATTTCATTTCCCACCTCTTGAAATACATCAACATTACTATCATATTGTCCACATTGTATTCATACTGTCAATAGTAATAGCACTAATATGTCATCAACATCTATACATGCAATTCAATCCAATGCAAACATCACACTGAAAATAATTATGTTACACTATGCATATTAATACTTTTTTATATGCTTTGTTAAATTTGGGGGGTGGAGGGAGCAGTAGAATAAATGCTAGTGACTAGCTTCTTATCACCCATCCAACATATAAGAAGCTCTACCCTTGGCTGAGTTGGCTTCTTGCAACTCACCATAAACATTTCCTGCTTACGTATTTTCTTTCACATGCCAATACAATCATTGTTCATGGGTCGGTGGAAGAAAGCCAAGGAAATTCGATCGTCTACTGATAACCATACGATGATTTCCAAGTATATATTGGGATAGAAAAGAGGATCGGAGTTTCAGAAACAAGACCAGTATTTCTAATAGACATCAGTTGGTGTTTTGAGCCTATGGTGCGTTGCACACAACACCAATCAGGTTACTGCTAAACGTCAGACAAGTATGCTCCTCCTTTTTTCTAACTAATCCATGAACCCTGGCTACTACACGAGCTACAATCTCACGAGCCATAAGAACTAGAAGATCGTGTTTAATGCCTACAAGTAACAAAAATTATTTTTCTTTTTGTGTTCTGTCAATTCACACCAAAATGGAAATTTCTTGATGATCAATAACAGTCAAGTAATAAAATATGAAAAATGCCAAGAAAATGTTTCTTGAGGGCGACTGTCAAGCAAAAGCCACCATATATAAAGAGCAAGGGAAATTCAATTTCCTTGGCAGTTCGGCCACCAAGGTAATTTGGCATCAAGAAATTAGTGATCCGCCAAGTATATCTAATTTCTTGAGGGCCTCAAACTACCAAGGAAATATGTCAAAAAAGTTTTTAACCTCAGAAGAAACCATGCGACCACCACAACCCTTGTGTGTTGCTTCCTTGACGCTGATAGCAATCCCTCCTAATGCTACTCTATGGATGCTCTAACAAATAAATCATAGCACTGATTCTCCACATGCTTGCTTGCTACCAGGTCTTGGTCTCCTCATCGTATATATTTGTCCGTGGATATGAAATTGTAAGTCACGAGAACAGTCTGCACCTGAGGTAGTCGTGCCCTGCCGCGGTGCCGAGCTGGCCGGCCTCCGCCCGCGTGCTGAGTGCTCACGCCCTGCCACCTGTTGGAGGAAGAACAAACACGCGAAGCTGCAACGGACCGGTCGGAGCAGGTGGACATGGTCAGGCTTAGTGTGGATATGGTAGAGCCAGGCACATACAAGACCGATGGATTAATTGACTAATTAAGAACGTCGCAAAAAAAATAACTAATTAAGAAAGTTCTAATTAATATTAAGTTAATTTAAGATGCATGCATAATTTTGGGAGGACCGTAAGAGAAAAACTATAAAGATAATTAGGGCCTGTTTAGCACAGCTTTACCAACAACTTCATGAGATGTTGTGAGTTTTTTTTTTTTTGCCAAATACCCATTTTGGGTCTGCCTACTATAGACTCGGGTGATATACGACCTCCTATCACTCGAGTGAGCCATGGCTAAAAATCACTCGATTCTGCAAAGAAGATAAAATTGAGTGATTTGAAGCCATCAATCACCCGATTTCCAAAAACCACAAGATCCAAATCCAATGGACCAGATAAAAAACAAATTAACAGAATATTTTTATGAAATGCAAATTGAATAAATTTAAAAGAAAAAAAAAGATAAAACAAACAAATTACAAATAAAAAAAAGAAAAATTACCAGATCAGTTCTATGGAAGGCAAATTGGAAGAAATTCAAATATAACGGAAAGAAATACAACTTCCAGAATGCAGATTTACAAAAATGATCAAACTAAAAGCAAATTACATCAACGAACACATAAGTTTACACCCAAATCGGAATAATAAAATATGCTACAGTAATCTGCAACTAGGAGCACGAGGAAGTGGTTGTGGTCGACGAGGACTAGGCCGCAGGCACCGTACTCCCTGCCGCGATCACCGCTGGCGACACCAAGGAGAGGGGAGGAGGAGGAGAGGGGTTGCGGTTACCTGCCCCTGCCGGGCCATGCGGGACGGCGCTGGTCCTCCTCCGCCGGGATGGTAGGGCGCAGGGCGCGCGTCATGGTGGCGCTAGGACGACAGGGCATCAGGGGCCCGCAACGCGGCGTCTGTGGCAAGGTAGGCGAGGCGGTGGTGCGGTGGGGGAAGAAGTTGCGATCTAGGGGAGAGGCAGAGTCGGAGAAGATTGAGGAACCGCGGCACCCTAGGGCCCGCCACCTGTCGTTGCTGCGTTGCCGCTCTTCATCCGTATCGTGGAACCATCATCCAATGGCTAGGAAAATCGAGTGACGGGACGCTCACAATCACCCGAGCCAGCCATAGATTTATTATTTCAAAACAGCTCAAGGGGTGATGCTGCTTTTTCTCTCCTCTCACAAAGGGCTGAGTTGAATGAAGCTGAAAAAAGTAGCTTATCCTAGCTTCACCTAACACATGTGGGGCCCAATCTAAAAAAAAAGACTAGTCTT